CAATAATTTGCTAAAAGAAATTATTAAAACATCGAACAATTTGAGAAATTTTCGGTTTTCGAAAATTGCTTCAAAGTCGATCTCCTCTTTCATTTTTTGTCGGAACTAGTTGCTTTTGTACTTAAAATGTGTGTTTTAGCCTGTTTGACAATTTCTATGGACGAAAAATTGAAAAAATTGTCGAAAAATGAGAAAATTTCGCTAAAAACCGGATTTTCAGTGCAAAATTTTTCAAAAAAAAAATTTTCGCTACGCGCAACCGCGCTCCGCTGAGAAAAAGGCTTACAGTTCATTTTGGGAGCTGGGGAGACCGTGCTATTATTAACAACGAGAGTTTTCGATTAACTAAAAGAGACAAAAACTATTCTTATTTTTGATTGTTTTGAAACGGTTACTTGACATCATATAGCTTTTTTTTTGTAACCAATTGCAATGAAAAATATTTAGCTAAATTGAAACTTTAGAATTGTCAAAGAATTCAACATACCAATAAAACAGCGAACATTTCTCCCGTCACCGATTCGATCATTATTGGCTCACCCCATAGCCAGATTCCTGAAAAAGTAGAAGTTTGACCTCAATTATCTCAAGTCCTATGAAAGATATGAAAATTTGAGAATTAGAAAAATTTTAATAATATTTTGATAAGCATTTCATACGGGGACAGATTTTTTCGAATAGCGACTAAGATAATTAAATTTAAATTTCCATATATAGTTGGTTCATATCATGCCATAGAAACAGAAGAAATTTTTTGTGTTTCGATTTTTGAATTTTACAGTTTCAGTGGGTTTAAATATATGTGAATCATCTGTTTATGATTAATATGTGAATCATCTGTTTATGATTAATTGAAATATATTGTCTATACATTGTCTACAGATTTTTTGTTTTTAGGACACAAACTTGGAATGATCATAATTTTAGAAAAATCGAAATTTCACTGTTTCCGGTTGTGACTGTTTTCAGGTTCTCCATCAATTATAGTTCCCGCAATCCGTGATAACCCAAAACACACATACCTACAGTATCCCTCTTGACACCAGCTCTCCAATGAAATCCATGAAGTTGACAATCGTCGGTCAACCATTCCAATGAACTATCACTCTGTTGAGATTTGTGCAAATTGTACAAATATTCGAGAAAAAAGTTTAGCAGAAAACTTTTTCCCTTTCGAAATGCACCCGCTACACTGATTACCACTACCTGAAATAAGGAATAATTTTTTATTTTGAAGTAAACGATTTCATTAAAAAATTGGAAATTCTGAAAACAGTGAAACTGAAAATTTTTTGTGTAGTTCAATATAACGTCACCTCCAATTTGAGCTCAATTATCTCAGTTTCTATAAAAGATATCAAAAAGTGGTCAACTGATAAAATGCTTATCATAATATTGCCAACATTTTATCAGTTTGCAAATTCTTGATATCCTTTATAGGTACCGAGATAATAGAGCTCAAAGAGAAGGCACTTTTGGCATATATTTGGGTCTATTGGCGAAGTATTACTATAAATAAGTTTTGTGCGAATTTCTAAAACGAGTGAAGCAGGAATCTGTTTTGATAGACGGTAAATGCACTAATGGAAGTTTACCTATACTTTTGCCCCATTATCTCGATTTCTGTGAGAGATACCAAAATGTAGTCAAATAATAAAATGTTGGGCATCAAATTCTCTACATTTTATCTGTTGGCAATTTTTAAAAGTCTCCTTTAGGAATTTAGATAATTTAGCTCAAAGGGAAGGAACTTATGGTATGTATTCCCAATTTTCATATTTTTGTTTTCTGGGAGAAAAGGCAACAATACAGTAATTTATTTTAGTGGGAATTTCTGAAAACAGTGAAGCATAATAATTTGTGATGGAAGATGAAAACTCAGATAGCATGCTCATTTTGCCCAGTTACCTCAATTTCTATAAAAGATATCAAAAATGTGTTAACTGTTAAAATGTTCATCTTGTTATCACCAATTTTTTATCAGTTGACATATTTTTGATATTTTTTATAGGGACCGAGATAATTAAACTCAAAAACTGGAGTTTCTATTTCTGATATTTTCAATCCCCTTTAATGAATGTTAGAATTTTCGAAAGTTCGCCAGATGTAGATCGATCACTTTTCCGAGAGAGACAGTTTTGATGGATTGATGGCTACCGGAGAGATAAGAATCGGATAGGTGAAGAGCGAAGTTTTGAAGGTGTTCTGTTCCAAATATTGAAAAACTTTGAAGCAAGTTTTGACCATTTCAAGTTTGTGGCCTAAAATCTCAAAATGGGGGATTCTAGGCCACAAAACTTTAATAGGTCATCTTGCTTCAAAATCAATAGTATTACATGAAAAAACCACAGATTGGTAGCTAATTTTTAGCTCTATCGGCATGTGTAAATTGTTGTTCGACAGCCTGTTGTGTAGTTCAATTGGTAGCGGCGAGGAACCTATAGTATTTAGTCCAAAAGTTCAAATCGTTGATATACAAACTAGTATTTTTTGAAATTCGTATTCTCTTAAGTCACATAACTGAAACACATAAAAATATTTTTTCTGCTTCATGAACCCGTTTTTCAGAACTTCAAGCAAGTTGTTTCTAATCGGTCCAGTAAAAATGCAACTTTTTAATATACAATCAAATTTTTATTCAAAAAAAGTTTAGAAAATGTTTTGTTTTTTTTCGAAATTTTTTCTATCATTATTACCAATTTTCCCCTAGAACACTAATCACCTAAATATTTATCCATTTATGTATTACCCCCTTCTTTTTCTACAAAATTGATGATGACTTGGCGCCGCGGAGAAAAGAGAAGAAGAGATAAGAAATCGGATGAGAGGGGGCAACACCCATTCCATCCCTCCCTCCGAAAATACCTGTTCTCTTCTTGTTTCTTCACTTCTGAACTTTCTAAGCGTTTCTTTCACAAAACGAAATAGTGCTTATCAGATGGAGTGTTCTCCACTGGGACTGGCTAAGCGCCCGGCTCGGCACCCCGATCCGCGGCCCGTATAAAAGACACGGAATGCGTCGGAATCATCGGTCTGTTCACAGCTTCATCCAAAAGCTCAACAATGGACATTGATTCGAAGATCAAGGCGTACCGATTCGTCGGATATGCCGCCGTCTGCTTCTCCGCAATGGCTGTTTTGTCGGTGAGTTTCGACTAGTTAATTGGCTTAATTAGAATAATTAGCGGTTTAAAAATCTGTAATTTTTGAAATGTTGCTTAATTAAAGGATCGCTTCTGTTGTATAACTTAATAGTGTTAGCTTCAATAGCTTTATGAATTATAGCCTTCAATAACAGTAAGTCAACTTTAACCAAATTTATCTTGGTTTCTGTGAGAGATATCAAAAAGTTGCTAACTAACAAAATGTTACTGATATATTAATAAAAATTTTATTAGTTGATTACTCTTTGATATCTTCCATAGGAAATGTGATAAGCCGGCTTAAAGTTGACATTAAAATGCATCAGTGTTTCCGACCACTACTCTGAATAGCTTAAAATAATTTTAACAGTTAAAACAGGCTACTGAAATAGTAAAAAAAGTTTTTTTAAAAATATTTTTTTCCATAGTCTTTTAGAATCTAGAAGAATAGTTTAATTTCGAATTAATCTTTTATTTGCTCCATGGCTAGGTCATTGCGTATCAGAATTGGAAAATTAGCCAGAAAATGTTTTAGACTTTTCGAAACAGCAAATTTTTGGAATTTTTGAATTTTTTTTGCAAAATTTGAAAAAAAACCGTTGGATTGAATATTTGATATCATCTGAAATTTGATTTCTGAAGATTTTGAAACCGATTTCCTTTTTTTGAAAGTTTAAATTTTTTGGGAAAATTTCAAAAATTCACCTTTCGAGGCATTTCAACCACTGTTTTGACAATTAGTAATTTTCAAATTTAATGAAAATTGATGATAATTTAAAACAGGAGTTCTTTAAATTTCAGAACGTTTAGTTTTCCGATCATTTTCTGAAAATTTCCCTGCTTCAAAATGGCTAGAACTAGAGAACTTGAAAGCAATTAGCGATTGACGAATCTCATCTAAAATCTTGGTGTTATTTGAACTATTTCAATATTTCAAGTTTAGGTTAAAGTTTGAATATTTTAATGATTTTTCAATACTTGAGTATTTTCTATAAAATTAAATATCCCATTTTCCAGGTCTGCATCACTTTGCCAATGGTGTACAACTACGTTCAACACGTGCGTACCCAGATGCACCAAGAACTTTTCGCCTGCAAAGGATCTGCCAAGGACGTCTGGAACTCGGTCTACTCGATCCGCGAGCTTCCATTGAGCGCCAACCGTACCGCCCGTTCCACCTACAACGAGCAGTGCGCCGGATGCTGCCTTCCAGGACCACAAGGACCAACCGGAACCCCAGGAAAGCCTGGAAAGCCAGGAAAGCCAGGAGCACCAGGACAACCAGGAACTCCAGGACGTCCACCACAGCAGCCTTGCGAGCCAACCACTCCACCACCATGCCAACCATGCCCACAAGGACCACCCGGACCACCAGGACCACCAGGAATCCCAGGAGACAACGGACCATCCGGTGAGCAAGGACCAAAGGGACCAGACGCCGCTCCAGGAGAGCCAGGACCAAAGGGACCACCAGGACCACCAGGACCACCAGGACAAGCCGGAGCACCAGGAGAGCCAGGAGCACCAGCCAAGTCCGAGCCAGCCGTTCCAGGACCACCAGGACCACCAGGACAGCCAGGACAACAGGGACCACCAGGACCACCAGGATCCAACGGAATCGATGGAGCTCCAGGAGCCCCAGGAGCCAAGGGAGAGCCAGGAACTCCAGGAGAGCCAGGAAAGGACGGAGAGCCAGGAAAGCCAGGAACTCCAGGACAAGACGGAACTCCAGGAGAGAAGGGAATCTGTCCAAAGTGAGTTTGGGCATCCTTAGTCTAGTTGGGAACTTCCCGGAGGCTTTTGAGCACCTTATCTACCTAATTACCTTTAATTACCCCTAACTAACTCTTCTCAATTTCCAGGTACTGCGCTTTGGACGGAGGAATCTTCTTCGAGGACGGAACCCGCCGTTAAGCACCCCTCGCGGACCCCCAACATTATTTATTTTCGAAAAAAATTTTGCTCATGTATTTTTTGCCCAAAAATTGTATGCAAAATGTTTCTTCGAACAAAGTATATTTCATCAAATTTTACCTTCTTATTAGCACATGCTGAATGGCCGAGCACAGAATTTAGAGCACTCTCGTTGAGACGAAATTTGCCCGGATTTGTGCTGGATGGAGCGATGATCTGAAAAAATTGGTTACAGTAGTTTGACAGTAAGCTAGAACAGTAACTAATTCATTATCAAAGCTTGTTAGGACAGGTTTATGACAGTTTAGTGATACAGTAGTCATAGGTAGTTGTACAGTAGGCTGGAGAATTCAAAAGTAATCTACAGTAAGCTACAATAGAATACAGTAATGATTATATAGTTTAAAGTTATCCAGCCAAAACCTGATCAAAAGGAATTATAAAAAAAATCAAGGCCAGATTAATGATAGTTAAGTGATACAGTAATCTTCAGTAGTCTTACAGTAAGCAGAGAGAATCTCAAAATTCACGTCTGTAATCCCACAGTAGACAAGGAGAAGTTTAACCTAGCTTACAGTAAGCTTAGGGTTACCTTATGGCAAGCTAAAATATAATACAGTAATCATACAGTAAGCTTCAGTAAGCTTAATTGATTCTACAGTAATCTTCAGAAAACCTATGATAAGCTTTATCAAACTTCGATTGAGCAACAGTAATCCTACAGTAAACTACAGCAATCCGAGAGGTAGTTACGCAAATCCTACAGTAAGCTACACACTGTAGGATTCTACACAAAAGAGTCTACACAAAAGGAGCATTATCAAAAATTGGGACAAGTTCATGATAGTTTAGTGACACAGTAGTTCACAGTAATCATTAAGTGAGCTACTAGGATGTTACAGCTGACTACAGTTGTCCAACAGTAAGCTACCGTAAGACTAAAGGTTTTTATAAAATTCCTACAGTAAGATTTAATAATCCTACAGTAAAACTCAATATCCCTACAGTAAGCAGAGAGGGGATTCAGCAAGGGGATACAGCAATCCTACAGTAGGCTAGAGAAGTTCCAAGTAGCTTACAGTGAATTCAAGTTGTCCTACAGTTAGCTACATTTATCATATAGTTGGATACAGTAAGATTCAGTGAATTCTTGCAGTAGGAAGTCCATTAAAATATTATCACAATGAAGGTTTCTGATAATTTAGTGATACAGTAGTTCACAGTAACCTCACAGTGAGCAGAAGTAATTCTACAGTAAACTAGCGAATTATGATATAGTCTACTGTAAGCTTAAGTTATACCGCATTAAGCTACAGTAATCGTAGAGCCAGCTACAAAGATGTTACAGTTGACAACAGTGATAAAAAGGTAATTATTAATTTCCTACAGTAAGATTCAGTAATAGTACGGTAAGCATAAAATATATTAAAATGAGTTTCAGCCCAACACATGGATCATTATCAAAGTTAAAGACTTATTTACGATAGTTTAGTGATACAGCAATTTACAGTAATCATATAGTGAGCTGAAAGGATCTTTAGTAATCCTACAGTAGACTGGAAAAACTGTTCTGTGATCATACAGTTCGGAACAACAGCCACACAGGGGGTTCTACAGTAATCCTACATAAAAACCAACCTGAACTGGTCTAACTTTATGACGATGCTCGTGTTGGTCCCGAGTTGTGAACGCAGTTTGGAATGGAGCGGTCAGATCGAAATCGAATGACATTTTTGATATGGAAAACTGCTGATCTGGAAAATTTTGAAAAATGAGTAAAAAGGAGAGAGAGAGAGAGAGAGAGAGAGAGAGAGAGAGAGAGAGAGGGAGAGAGAGAGAGAGAGAGAGAGAGAGAGAGGGGGGGAGAGAGAGAGAGAGAGAGAGAGAGAGAGAGAGAGAGAGAAAGAGAGAGAGAGAGGGAGAGAGAGAGACGCACTATTTTTATCAGAATTGAAACATCCATTAACTAGAGTATGAGGTCAATGTGATTTTAAAGGCACCTTTTTGAAACTGTAGCTTTTGTAAATATTTTTGGCCAATAAATTTCCAGATGTTGGATTTTTCTGAAGTTTCTTTCAATTTAAATTGATTTAACTAATCTTAAATTTGGAATTTTCGGCACATAGCTTATTAACGGCCTAAATCATCAGAATGGAGACTGGTGAAAAAGTTGTCAATTACAAAATTTAAGCTCTATTTTTTTTTAGTATACTTTGAAATTTTCAGACCAATTGAAAAATTCTGGACCGTTTTTGTAGAATTTCAAAATTTACTGTTTTCCCCTATAAGGATGATTTTTTACTAGTTTTTGCATTAAAAAACTACTATAAAATGCTAAAAGATTATTCTATCCGGTTAAAAGAAATAAAAAATGACGATGAGTGATAAGAATTAGAAGCCATATGTTAAAGAAATTTCTTTAACATATAGAGCACTAGATGGGAGAAAAAACATAACAGGAAATCGAAGGAAGAGGAAATCAAAAATCTTGGAGACAAAAAAACCACACCCACATATATGGAAAAAATTGGAAAAAAACGGCTGAAAAAGGCTGAAAATAGGTCAAGAAAATTGAAGAAATTTTCTAAAAATTAGGACATCCGGACAAACAGACAACCGATCAACGTACAAAACGGAACAACAAATTGAGGTACTCTTAACAGATATCGAGGATGAGAAACAGAAAAAAGTATCTAAATTTAAAATTTAGAAAAAAAAATAATTTCAGAAAATTTAGATCTGTCTGTTTGTCGGTTTGTATGGATGTCTTCGCTTTATTTTGGGAATTCTCATTTTTTTGTGTTGGATATTGTCGGTTTTTTGATTTTGTAAAGAAAAATATATTATGAAATAGAAAATTCTTTTTCGAATTTTAACTTTTTTCGTGCATTTTTGAGATACGGTTTTTGACAAAAAAGATCTCGAAATTAGGCTTAAAATAGTCTATTGAGGAGCTAAAATTTCAGAAGTTTTAAAATTGATTAACAAAAGTTACAAATGGCGCTTAGAAATTTTTTTGAGTTTCAGAGAGTTTAGAAGTGGTAAGACCAATTTTAGCGAATGATGTCATTAAAGATAACGTTTTCAAAATTTTCGAGAATTCTCTAATTTTTAAAATCAAATTCTCTAATTTTTATCACTATTCGGAGCATTTTTGATTATAAAAAACAAACGAGTATATATTGTCAAAATCTAACATTCTTCAGAAAATATAGACATTTTGAAACAGAAAATTTTTTCACTTTTTGGAATTTCAAAAAACGTTCCAAAAATGAAAAAAGACAAAACCAGAACTTTCTTGTAATGGAGCAAATGCGAATGTTTGCTCAAAAAATCTATTGGGGCGTCTTATTCCCAAAAATTGAATGTCTAACAAGGGCAAATATATGAGTCAAACAGACGAATTGCTCCAAAAATTGGCGAGCAAAGGGGGGCTCTTTTATAACATACTTACATGGAAAAGAGGAACTCAGAAAAGGGGAAGGAAGAGAGGGAGTAAATGGCCAAATCAAGTACTAAAATGCACGGGGACGAATAAAAGTGGACCCCAAAGAAGTAGAAGAGGAAACGGGGATGAACTCTCTTAGTTCGTCTTTAAGTGAGTTTTGTTTTGTCTTCTTCTTCTTCTTCTGCTTCATCCCTCTAAGAACAATTTCGTTAAAACCGGGACGGGATGAGTGGCCACCTCATTATCCCTCCCACACCCTCCTTTTTCCCATTTTTCACACTTTTCAAGGGAAGGAAGACCACTTGAAAAAACAAAGGAAAACCAACTAACTTGGATGAGCTAGAGGATTTGAGTAATGAGAATCCTCCCCAAGAAAAGTGGGAGATTTATGTTTTGAAATTGATTGGTTATGGCAATACTAGCCTAGTAAAGGGTTTAAAGAGTTAGAGCCATCAGAACCTTAACGGGACATTTTAAGAGCTATCTATCTCAAACAACCTCATACAATAATTCAGCGACCGTAAAAGAATAAATGCTCAATAAATGCTCCAATAGAACGCACCCTATTTGAGCACAATTATCTCGATTCCCATTGAAGATATCAAAAATTAGTAAACTGATGAAATTTTAGTGATAATATGATAAACATTTGACCAGTATACAGATTTGTGATATCTTTTATAGGAACCGAGATAATTGAGCTCAAAGGATAGACGGTACCTAAGAGTTCCCAAAATTAATGACATATCACAGCTAAAGAACTTCAAATTTTTAGAAATTTAATTAAAGCAGAACAAAATTTCAATAGGAATTCAAAAGTTCAAACTACTTATCAAACGTTTAGAACAGAAAGAAAATTATGGTAAGATTGAAACTGTAAATTCAGGAATTTTAAAAAGAAAACTTTAAAACAGAATTCTTAAAAAATCCTCTCGTTTTTATCTCTTTTGTCTATATTATACCAATAGAATTCATCAAAATTAATAACAAGGAAAAATTGATGTTTTTCGAAGTCTGTACATTTCCCAGGAGATGATTCTATATCAAAAAGATGTCTGCTATGTGGTTAAAACAATTCGTGCACATCGATTTTAAAAATTACAGTTTCCAATTATTGAAAAAGATTAACAATTCGCATGAAAGAAGTTAATAAGATGTTTTTTGTTATTTTTAGTTTCTGGTTATCTGAAATTTTTTAAGATCAAAATTTTCCAGCATTCTCAGGTACATATAGGTGTCAAATGAACTATAAAGTGAATATTCTGTTTCAGTGACTTTCCGAATTTACGCTGAAATTGAAGGAACTACTTCCAAATCCAGAAATTTAGACTTTTGAAATCGGTTTAATTTATTGGACTTTTGTATAATAAGAGAAATGAAAGAAAGGTGTTTGCATGCAAGAAATTCATGTTTGCTGTAAGTAATAATTGTTGATTCCATAAAATTCGAGTCATGGTAGTTTTTTTATATGTATATCCTGCCAATGTATTACTTTGTCAGATTACCACATAAACTTGAAACCTTAATGAAACTGGAATTATAATATACCGTAAACACTCTAATAGAACGCCACATGGACCGTCCACTTTGAGCCGATATATCTCACTCCTTTTGAAAGATGTCAAAAAGTTGCCAACTGATAAAATGTTGGTCATGATATTAGCAACATTTTATTAGGTAACCACTTTTTGATATCTTTCATAGAAAATGAGATACATGGGCTCAAATTTGACGATTTGGGTAGCGTTCTATTAGAGTGTTTACAGTAAGCTTCATTGAATATTGACTTAAAGGAGGAGAAAAGGAAAGATTTTGGGGATTTTAACGGAAAATTTTAGTTATTAGTTCTGGTACTCTATGTTTTGGTTCATGATAAAGTTTTGAGATTCAAGAAGTAGGAAAAATTTTATTGAAAGTTGACAAGAATTAATTGAAACTCAAGGTTGTAAGAAATATTAAATATTACAATTTCGAACTGGCTTTCTTCAATATTTTGAAACGGTAACATAATAGTTTCTTTATAAACTCGAATTGCCTTGTTGTGGTCTAATTTCTATTGCTATCAAATCATCTCCAGGGAAATCATTACTAATAACATTAAAGAAATAAAAGAATAGATCAACTGAAATGAGCAAAAAACAAGAAACTGTAGCACTTTGGAACATTTTGGGGACTTTCCCAACCATGGCTCTGGCACCTTCTGAAAACCCCCGTTTAATATTTAAACCCCCGTTAATTCCCAAAACCCCTTCAAATATTCAAAACCCCCGTTAATTTTTTAAACCCCCGTTAAATTATAAAGAGCCGATATTTCTAGTCAAATTCTATTATTATTAAGCAATTTTGAAAAAAAATATTATATAAGTTTTTATTTTTGTCATTCAATTTCAAAGTATTTTCAGAAAAAATCAAAATTTCTCTATTTCATATTTTTCAGATTTTTAGAAATCAATTTTTAAATCAATAGGCTGAGAAAAGGTATGAATTTTTGTCTAGAAAATTTTTTTCTCAATTTTTACAATTTTTGGGTCAATATTGATTTGTATTATTTCGAAGTTGTTTTGAATGCTTCCGGTGAATTTTGTGCAAATTTGAAATAAATTTTTAGTAATTTTTGATGTCGACTTTTATAACAAAAAACATAAAAATTTTCCTGGTTCATCGTTTTCTCAAAAAAACCTTATTTAAAAAATATAATAAATGTTTCAATTTCTATGATTTTTGGGTCAGAAGTTCCATTTATTTTGAGAGAAAAAATTTTAAAATTTCCTGTTTCATCTTTTTCAGAATTTCAGTAATCAAGTCTCAAATCAATGAACCTAGTGTAAAGTTTCCAGAAATTTCTAGAAAAAAAAATTCCAAGAGAAATTTGTGAAATAAGAGACCCAGAAGAGGAATAAAAATTTCACAAAGGACCACTCATCCGGATATTAATTGAAATTCGACTCCCATTCTTCTAAGACCCAAGGGCTCCGCCCATTTCTAGTGTTGACTACTAAATCTTGGGGGCCGCCGTTTAATTTAGGGAGACCCGCATTTCCCCCCATCTTTTTGAGAAATCGTTCAATTATTCAAGAAGCGCCTTTTGTCGTCTTTGCGTGTCTTTGGTATTTTGCCATCATCAAAGTTAGAAAGAGAGAGAGAGAGAGAGAGAGAGAGAGATTCTGATGAAAAAAAAATTAAGTGGAAAAAGAAAAAAAGGAAAAACAAAAGGGATTTGGACCAGAGGGGAAAAGAAGTGGAAAGGAATGTGGACTAGAAAAAGAAGAAAAAGGAAGACGAA